CTCTCTCTCTCTCTCTCTCTCTCTCTCTCTCTCTCTCTCTCTCTCTCCATTCTAGCCTTCCCCTCTTGCCTCCCAAGATCCCAAGATCCCTCCTTTTCCTTAAGCCCCTCCATCATGTCTGTTGCACAGTTACCCTTTCTTTCTGCCTTCCACCTCTTGCTCTCATCCCCTCATGAAGGCCATCTCAGCAGAACACAATACCCATGGGCCTCCTCTTTTGCATGTTGCGGAACACAGGATTCCTGCAGCCCATTTCAGGTGGGCACACCCTTCCCTGGAGCCTGTGTTTGACTGCCCAGACCAGTTTACAGACCCTGGTTCCCCATGGGGGCAAGGGGGAGCACAGAGTACTCAGCAGGGATAGATCAAGCAGCAGGTGGCAAGGGGTTTTTTTTGGGGGGGGGGCAGGAAGGGGGACAGAACAGGGGGGCAAAGGGGGGAAAGACAAGACAGGTCAAGGGGCAAGGAGAGTGGGGCTTAAAGCTATAGGTACATTTGGTTCCTTTTGACCCTGCCATTGAGAATGTCAGTTTTAGATGTTTTTAAAACCATTTTTCTGACTGATCCAATCTCTCTTCCTTGACTGTTAATTGAAGGACCCTGGTTCCAAGGAAGTATGGATTCTTATCACATAATCTCAGGCCTGATTTTAGAACTAGGTCTTTTTTTTTAAAACACACACACACACACACACACACACAAATAAAACCCACAAAAATTCTGAGTCGGGAGGGAGGGGTGGTTATCTGAGGGCTCTTAGCCCCTTAACATCTACCCTGCCTGGCTAAGATCAGAGCTTGGACCTCACCAGAAGAGGCCCAACCATCATAAAAGCTGGCCCAGTGTCTCCTCCTTGCCCCTCCAGCATCTAGGGGAAGGCGGACATTATCCGTGAGACCTCTCACTTTCGATGGCCTCATACCCTTTCTGCACAAGTCAACCTCAGCTCTGAAGGAAAAGTTCCAACCAAGCAGAACGCCCATACCTCCGGGGGACAAATAAAGCTGGGCTGATCCCCAGCTGCAAAGGGCCATACAACAGAAAACCCTCACCCTCTCGGAGCCCCAGACGGGGCCAGACTTTCTTGTGTTTTAGGGGGACCTCGGATTAGAGCGAGCAGTGACCTTGCGCACCATCATTTAATGTTGCTCTTATTTTACCAAGTAGGAAAGAGGCTTTTCCAACAAGTCACGGAGTCAGGATTTGGACCCAGGATGCGGGATCACAGATTCCGAGCTCATCTAGCCCAATGCCCTCACTTTACAGATAAGGAAACGGAGGCAGAGGGGACGGGGAGAGAGGCTCGGCCCAGGTCCGGTGGGTGCGAACGGAGGACGCTGCTCCCTGGGGCCCTGGGTTGTCTGTGAAGCCAAGGGTCAGGATAAGGGCTGTGCACATGGCAAAGAGAGGGCAAGGCTGGGGCAGGCCTGATGGGGAAGAAGGAACCATACTTACAAGACGCAGAGAGCGTATGCCCGGGAGATGGATTCACTGGCCCTCACTAGGAAGCTCCCGTCTTTCCCGGTCTTGGAGAGCAACTCCTCGGCCTTTGAACGGGTGATGTTCCCATGATTCCAGCAGTGGACCATGGCTGCCGCTTTGGGAGAGTGGCCGCGGGCCGAGCCCTGACCACTCAGCCCCAAGGCCACACCGGGCAAACAGCCACCGGCCGATGGGTAGGAGAAGCCCCTGAAACGTTTAGTCCGCTGTCCCCAGAGCAGCTGCGGCTCTCTCTCTGCCTTGACTTCCTGTTTCAGACGCTCTGAGAGGGAAAGGAAATTGAGCTGTGGAGGACTTCCTCATTGCAGAAACAGAGAGAGAGAGACAGAGAGACACAGAGACAGAGAGATACAGACAGAGACGAAGAGACACAGAATGAGAAAAAGAGAGACAGAGACAGAGAGGCAGAAAAAAAGAGAAAGACTGGCAACACCCAGAGAGACACCCGAAGAGAGGCAGAGAGAGACATCAGCCTCCTACCCAGACCTCCTTCAAGGCCCCACCCTATTCTATCACTCAAGTTCTCCACATCTCTCTCCATCAATAATGGGCATTTCTTGGTGGCCCCCCCCAAAAAAATCCACATGGTTGTCCTTCGGTTGTTTTCTTTCTGCCCCAACAATAGGTAACTTAACTCTATTGATACTCTGACTCTGTGTCTCCTCGCAAGGTTTTAAAAAGAGGGGGCTGAGGTGCCCTACGAGCCAAGCTCTCCACAGGCTAGGGGAGGTGAGAGCCTTCATTTCAACATTTATAGAGTGCCCAACTGTGTGCCTGGCACTAAGGATAAGAAGAAGTTATTGATATAGTGCCTGCCCCCAAGGAGCTTCCATTCCGTGGGAGAGCCAGGAAGCTCTGAGCAGTCCAGGAGCCCTGAAGTCCCTTAGTCCAAGCTACCCCTGCCAAGAATGCCCTCTGCTACACCTCTGACCAGAGGTCATCCTGGGAAGGGGAGCTCACTGCCTCGGCGGCTCGGTCTGCTTTGGGGCAGCTCTAATTCTTAGGAAGCATCTCCTTACATAAAGCTGAAGTTATATAAAGCTCTACCTGCTACTTCTGGTCCTGCTCTCTGGGGCCAGAAACATCTGATCCCCCTTCACATACAGGAAGGCAGCTCTCCTGTCTCTCCTCGCCCCCAGCCCCATCTCCTCTTGCCCAGGCTCAATACCCCCAGGGCTAATCCTCCTTCAACATCCTGTTGACTTTCTTCTGGATGTGCTCTCTATGGCAGAGCTTATGGGGGATAACAGCTTTGCTCTGAGGGCAGAAATGTCAGCAGATGACTCATATCTTATGCCTCTTTAGTGTCTGGGCACTTCCTTGAGACTTATCAAAAATTCAAGACAACTCGTATGGCCAGGGAGTCACAAGGACCTAGGAAGAGGGGCGAGGGGTCTCAGTGTGTGTGTCCATCCCCAGCCTCAGACAAGGTATGTGGTTAGCAGGTGGGGAAGCTGGCCTTTGCCTGCCCCTTGGGCAGTGAAGAGATGAAGAAAATCCACTCACCTTAACCCAGTTAGAAGTGAGGGCTGGGAACCCTTCCGGTAAGGAAGCATCTCTCAGCAGCTGCTTGGGGTCTTTTGGAGAGACACTTAGCTGGAACTGGGAGCAGAGGGGGAAGTAATCCCAAGTACCTGAGCGATAACAGGGTCCAGGCACAGGTTAGAGGTGTCTGTCTCTGAAGGTGAGAGCCCTTTGCTAGGGCCTGAATCTAAAAAGGAAAACTAAACAATAGTCCTCTCAGATGGGCAGCCTGAGATGGCCAGAGCCATGGGAGCCTTTCGCTGAAAGAGGACCAGAGCTTCCCCAGGTGGTGGAAAACAAGCCAGGAGGACACCTGTGGAGGCGGAGCTTCAGCAACTGATGGCAGCCGGAGCTGAGCAAGCGGAGCCTCACTGAAGGAGGCCGGGAAGGCCACGGAGCTGCCCCGACTGCTGTTCCACACCTTGCCTCTGGGGGCCCTGGAGCATGACTGACCCACCCTGCTGACCTGGGAGGGGAGGGCATTTCGTCTGTCTGCCCACCCTGCAGCTGAGACCTCTGAGACACGCTGTCTCCTCCTTGAGAGAGCAGGGGATTGGCTTTACTATTTGTATCTTCAGGCCTTTGCACACAGGAAGCGGCTGATAATTGCTTTTTCATTCATTCATTCTTTCATTCATTCATTCATTCATTCATTCATTCTTCCCCTTCTGGCACAGAAACCTAGGAATGAAATTGTTTTCCATCATACTTCCATTACAAGAAAGATGTTAGCTATATTGTATACTGTGGTTCCATTTCGTGCTTTATTATTTGATTCCCAGGGGTTTGCTTGGTAGGAAAAAAGCATATGTTTCAGATGGGGGGCTGGAGTCAAACCCATGTCCTCCACATAGGGGCAGGGGTTGGGGACTTCAGGCTGCCTCAGGGTAGCTAGAGACGGGTTCAAGGGGAGACGCCTTCCAGACTCAAGTCAAACCCCACCTCCAACGACATCTCCCTCAACAGAATCTAAGCACCATGAGGGCAGGAACTGTTTCCTTCTGGTCTTTGTGGCCTGTCTGTCTGGCACAGAGTAAACACTTAATAAATGCTTGTTGATTGATTAATCCTGACAAAGTACTCTGGGAAAACTTCAGGAGAACACATTCAGCTGGGGGGTCAGGGAGGGCCCTGGTGGGAGGGTCAGTTTCTGTCGGTTCTCCAGCCTTGCAGTCCTGCTGTAATAAACTCAACAGCCACACACAGAGAGGGCCTTTGGAGCCCCTCAGGGGCAGCCTCTGAGAACAGAGTGGCCCAGGAGCCGGGCCACAGGCCACAGGCCCAGCTTCCTACCACGTGGCCAATGGCACAAAGGAACTGGCAGGGGCAGATCATTCATGCATGCCTTCATTCCTCTTCTGGTTCTGGCCCGGGGCTGCTGAGTCACAGCTGAGCTGGGAGTCCCAGCCCCGCAGGAACCCAGCCCCAGAACCAGGCCCCAGGGAAAGGTTCTCAGAAGGCACTTTCATCTTTGGAATCTCGTTATCTCTCCTGTGTCAGATGCAGCAACCACCCAGCACAGAGAGCAAGCCAAGATTAAGAAACTCGTGGGTCCCCAGAGGGCATTCTGGCTGCCAAGGGAGGTGAGCCCTTTTATCCCTTGGTCCCTGTTTCTTTATATCTCCACGGGGCCTATCTGTTGACCTGAGCTGCCCCACCCAGAATGCTGGGGCAAGAGTTCAGGAAAGTGCAGGATGTTTCAGCTACCATTCTGCCAAAGCAAATTTCCTTGTCTTTCAATGATCGTATCTGACAGTTCAGAGGGCTCTCAAGTGGTCCTTCACGCAGTGCCCCCAATCACGTGGGACGCACAGACGCCAAGCCTAACTCAGCATATCCAGCCCCTGTCCTAAAGATCAAAGACTTAGAGCTAGGAAGGACTTGGGGAACGGGTCACCAAGTCGGACCCCCCCTCATTAAAAGGGATCTGAGGCCCAGAGAGATGGGCTATAAACTCAGATGCTCTGACTGAGGACAGCTGGGAGACTCAGTGGATAGAGCTCCAGGCTGGGAGTCAGGATGAGTTCAAATCCAGCCTCAGACTCTTACTAGCTGTGTGACCCTGGGCAAGTCACTTCATCATGTCTGTCTCAGTTTCCTCATCTACAAAATGAGCTGGAGAAGGAGATGGCAGATGCCTCCAGCATATCTGTCAAGAAAGCCCCAAATGGGGTCACAGAGAATCGGACAGGAAAGATGACAAGCTCGGATTCCAGATCCTGGGATCTTTCCACCGCACTACACTGTCCCCCATTCAGGCTGCCTTAACAGATCTCTTACTCCTTCACCTCCTATAATAACGATAACAGCTTGGGGCCTGTTACTACCTCCATTTCATAGATACCATAACTGACGCGCCTTGGATGTCTAGTATAGACGACTATCACTTTTCCACGGGTAAGATTTGGTTTTGGTGAGAAGCTAGGTTTCCAACAATGCAGGGCACTCCCAGTGTGGAGGCTCCCTTCCCTGAAGCCTCTATAGCCTTAGAGGGTCACCTGAGGCACCTAGAGGGCCTGCCCTGGGGAATGGGCAGTTTGGGAGGAAGCCAAGGACCCTGAGGAAGAAAGGCCTGAGAATGAAGCTGATCTGCCCTGCAGGAGGTGACTTTCCCCAGGCCTGTGCCTATATGACGATGACCCAGGGTGAAGCCAGGGGAAAAGGAAAGTGTTCTGTAGGGAGAGAGTGGAATGGATCCATGTGGGAGAGCTGGAAGCAGGGAAAACACTCATTTAAAATTTGCAAGTCACCCTTCCCCTCAGTCCTCCCCTTCTACCCTAGCCTCCACTTTCCTTCCTGTTCCTGCCCCAGGAACATGCAAAACATGACTGGACCAAAGTGGGACAGAGGCTGGCCTGAGCAGGGCCTAGGGCCTGCCCAGCCAGTCCTTCCAGGAACCAGCCAAGCTCTACCCACTGTTCACACACAGAAACCCAGGGTGGGAAAGCTGCTGTGTGGACTCCTGATGCTCACTGAGATAGCTTGGATGTCTGTAGACCTCAGATACCAGGCTTTTGACCTCTAGGTCTGTGCTGCATTTCTGGTCCTCGTGTAACAACAAAAATAGCTGACATTTATAGAGCACTTTAAGGTTTGCAGAGAGCTTTGTACATTCTCATTTGATACTCCCAGTAACCCTGGAGGTAGGTGTTATTATCCTCATTTTATAGAAGGGGAAACTGAGGCAGGCAGAGGTGAAGTGACTTGCCCAGGGTCATATGCTAAGTGACTGAGGCATGATTTAAACTCAGATTCCATATCCAGTGCTGTGTCCACTCTATCCACCAATTCAAAAACAGACATTTATCAACTGCTTCCTACGGGTAAGGCACTCTGTTTAGTGCTGGGAATGAAAAAGCAAAACAATCCCTGCCCTCATGGAGCTTATGGTTTATTGATAGAACACACAAGCAAACCAATTCAAGCGAATTTCAAGAGGGAGAGATCACTAAAGCTGGGGGAAAGGCCTTGTGGAGGAGGGAGGACTCAGGGAGGCCAAGCTATGCTTTGAAGGAAGTCAAGGATTGTCCAAAGCAGAGGTGGGCAAGGAAGGAGGCCATTCTGACTGGGTGACAATAATAATAGTTAAAGTTTATAAAGCACCTGCTATGTGCCAGGCACCGTGCTAAGCCCTTCACAAGTATTATCTCATTTGATCCTCACAACAACCCTGGGAGGGAGGTGAGATCATTACCTCCATTTTACAGA